TTGGAGGTGCTCTGCAACACATATGATCGATCAATCGATGGTCCATAGTCCGTTATCACGCCCATGGTTCACCAAGCCTTCTATCCCTCCATAATGGACAAACTGGTATCAGACTTATCCGCATCAAAGCACCAACTTGATACATCCGCAGGTCACCCTAACTCATTGTAAAGTTCAAATATGCAATGAATCACCTCGAACGATGCTACATGAAGACGAATACATGGCACATGCCTAAGGGTTGCTACCATTGAGAGCTATATACCTTTTTTTTATCTTTGTCGCGCCATTTGATTAATCAACAAAGAATTTGCGACGACTAACAATGTCGACGTTGAAAGGAATTCGGTTTTGATCTTACAACACGGAAAATCAACTTTCTTCAAAACATTACTTGTAAAAAAATGGACGATGAGGAGGGCTTGGGAAAGGCGCGTCGCCGTTTGGCCAATAAAATGCAGCTGATCGTCGTGAAGAATCATACCTTAAACAGATTTGGTACTGAATGACAGAATGAATAGAATCTTTTTATTTAACCCTTTCGGGATGGACCCACCTCTTCTGCATCTCTAGCTTACAGCATGGAAACGCATTGAATGTATTATTGTATTATTAAAATTGTACTAAAAGAAAAAAAGGATAAGCTCTCCGGGTTTATCAATCCCTGAGTGATGCGTCATGCATTGGTCTTGAATTTTTAATTTCGCCTGAGGTGACTAAATGCATGTCTGACCTTTACAATGACTCGCGGCTGAACCGAGTCAGTGCTGCTTATCCTCTCAGACAAGTCTTAGACCACTCGGGTACCAATTCACCGACCCCGAAGGGATGGATGGATTGGTGAGCCATGAGCGAGAGATCGAACCATTGACCTCGCATGCAACGCAGAGCACCTCAACCACTGCGCCACATGTGCTCTCAAAATTGTATCACTGTTGTCATTTTCTTACTTATAACAATATAATGAATCTATATATAATATAACATAGAAAATTAACGAGAATAATACAGATTAAATGGTACAATGTTACATTCAATGCGTTCCAACGTTGTGGCTCGAGATGCAGAGGAGATGGGTCCACGGTCCGAAAGGGTTGACTGTTTTTTAGCGGTAGTATGAGGTTTCAATAATATCCAATGATGTTGAGTGATGTGCGGAACCTTGATGCCAAGCGGGACCCGACGACGCATTCCACCCTTTTCGAAGTGGTAGTGCAATTGGTTGAGCACATGCTCCTCGAAGGGGTAAAAAGCGCCTTCTGAGTCCCACCTAACGTTGAAATTTTGCAGATCATTTAACATCATTGGGTATAGAATGTATATATATATATGTATATATATGTATATATATATATATATATATATGTATATATAACTGACCTCGAAAAACTATGTATAGATATAGATAAAAGTGCTTACCCTAAACACTAACAAATCCACTTACTTTTCGTTGGCTATCCAAATTGGCTCGGCTTTGTACCAAGACGGATCCAGAGATGCATTGACGATACCCTGCTTACCCGTAAGATTGAAATAGTCATAACTGAAAACGATCAAAAGAGAATGACTGAACTGAATGAGACGAAACTAGAACGAATTAGGATATATTGTTCAAAGGCTTACAACTTTCCTGTAGTCGTTTCGTAGAAATAATTGCCAACAATCCCATGATCCTGTTCATGTAAACCTAAAAATAACATGGATGATGACAAGGAATTTTTAACGCTTTGTAAACTGCGTGTACACTATAGTGTACTGTATTTGAAAGGACTTTCTCGCCGGACAAAGCTATTTCACTATAATTTCATAGTCATCGATAGCTTAAGAAAATGGTGATTCGAATCCTGAGTTTGCTTTCTCAAAAGGCCTCATTGGTGCCCTGTAGCAACGAAAAAAAATGTTTCGTCTTCCAAGTAGTGAGTCCGTAACTTTAACTTTATATCGGAATTAGTGGTATTATAAGACAAAACTTAAAAGCTAGTACTCATAGAGGACGACAGAAAGAGGTATCTTAGAATTACATAGAAGTCCCAACTCCTTAAATACACGAATATCTCAAATTATGAAGGGTTATCGATGAACTGACATCGCATGCAGTACGCGGCATCACTTCTGACAAACTAGCGCTTTTTCTTCTACATAAGAGTTCCTGCACCTTCAACATGGCTGAATGTATAGAAAAACATGGAGCATCAAAACAATACAAGAAACCTAGGATTTCTAAACTATATTGAACTTTTGAGCAACCTCTCAAAATAGTCGATTGAAAGGTACTGTTACAAATGCTCCGTAACAGCCGTAAGCATGCAGTCGACAATCAATCACTCTAAAAGAACGCAATATCAAGTAGTCTTTCCACATATGGTGGAGTGTAACTTCTTCGGCGCCGAATACTAATAATAGCAGAGATGAGAAGAAGGGGATGTGATACTAATAAGGCGTGCGAGAACGTCGAAACGTATGTATACTACCGAAAGCCATACCAGACCCCATGAAAGACTTAAAACGTTCTATCAGACTAAGATTTTATCTTGAAACAAGGAAATAACTCTAGTTAACCCTTTGCGCACAGAACTTCATCGATTTTCACAGGAAATGGGCGGTTTCCGTTGAATAATAAGATTCTTTTTTCTCTCGCGAAATTTCAGGTTTTTCGAATTGCTCTAATACTCCATAATTTTCTGTAAACTTTCATAGATTTTTGTCCATGTATAACTCTTAGGTGAGAAGAAAACTCTAAGTGTGAAACGTAATCCATCTTTCGCTCACACAGCTCACTATTAAGTCCTTCTTGAATAAAAGGATAAAGGATAAAGCTCTCGGCGTTGATCAATCCCTGAGGGATGCGCCATGCATTCGTGTTCAATTTTTAATTTCGTCTAAGGTGATTGAATGCATATCTGGCCTTGACAATGACTCGCGGTGGCCTCCCGCTGAACCGTGTCAGTGCTGCTTATACTCCCAGACAAGTCTAAGACCAGTCTGGTACCAATTTACCGACCGCGGAGGGATGGATGGCTCGGTGAGCCATGAGCGCATGATCGCACCAATGACCTCGTGTGTGACGCAGAGCACCTCTAACCACTGCGCCACATGTGCTCTTCCTTCTTAAATAACAAATTTAATTCCGGTCGCCGAGATTTGTGGTCGTATCTCACTCAGCCGGTCTCGCAGTAAAACAGGCAAGCAGCTCTATGGGTGCGACCGATCCGCAGATGCTGCCTGCCTGCAGTGCCGCGCGAGCGAGCAGCGCGACGGCGCCTACTATCAACGGAGGTTCCCAAGGGCCAAGAACTCGTGCATCGCAAACGTTACACGCCGTCCCCAAAGGGTTAGATAGCGAAACGCGCTCTCCCGCAGTGTTCAGCTGCAGTCGCGAAAAGATTAACTTGGCTGAAACTGATAGCAACTCACCAGTGACGATGCTCATATGATTCGGGGCAGTGTAAGTAACAAACTGAGACCTCACTCCATTCTTGAACCACGACCAATTCGAGGCCCATCTGTGAATGTTTGGCGTCTGTAAGTAATACATTTCCGCTTTTTTTGTCGGATTCTTCTACCCAGTACTTAACCCTTAAATTTCTTTTGTAACTCTCTCAGGTTTTTATCGCCTCACAGTGGCTGAGAGGCGTTCCTGGACGTCACACTGTGAAGCACGGCGGGGTAACAGCCCCCAGCACGTCACCCAAGCTAAGAACCTACGTTTCCACTCGGGAAGCTCAGCTAGTAGCAAACCGTATCAGGAGTGACCGCCGTTTTGGTAGCTACAAGTCGCATGATGGTAATATTCCTCTGGTCCACGAAGGCCGGCGAGCGCTCAAAGGAGGTGAATACCTAAGGAAGCCCCGGCTGAACTTACCTCGGGACTGCAGGGTACGAGACAGCCAACCGATGACCTCCGCGGACCCATGGGCGTGTCCAGAGACTCCACCTCCTCTGCCGCAAACAGACGCCAACTACAGCTACTTCTCGTTGCAGGATCCGCAGCTAAGTTTTGGAATGGTTCGCGTGCGGTCTACGCCGACGTATTGACTGCTGCTTCTTGATGTTATGTCTACAAGTGTGATGTCAACATCAAGAAACAGAAGTCACTACGCCGGCGCAGACCGCATACGAGTCATTCCAAAATTAACTGGGGGTCCTGCAACGAAACATAGCTGCAGTTGGCGTCCTATCAGGACGGAGGAGGTGGAGTTTGAACACGCCCCTGGGTCCACGGAAGTCGACCGGGTACCCAGTATAGTTTCCATGCTTGGGTCCGCACCATCAGTGAAGACGGGCCGTCCAGGTATTCTCAAATTTTTTTTATAACCACATATACAGGATTCTATGTGTAAACCGTTGAACACTGGTAGCTGACATATAGATGCGTTGTAGCGTTGAAAGAGTGATGGCAAAACGGGCGTCAGTAGTGCAACGGGTTAGAACACGCGTTCTCGAATAAGTAGTTGCGGGTTCTAGTCCCGCCTGTTGCGAAAGTTTTGCACATCACTCTACATCACTGGGTATATGGAGGCCTCCTTTGGCTCTTTAATCGTTTGCCAAATCAAAAGATTTCCTAAAAAACATCAAACATCACAGAAACCTCTTCGAACTCACCATGGTTTCATTGAGTAAATCGTAACGAAAACCATCGAATGAGATGAGGAGAAGCTTCGGGTGGAGACTTAACCCAGCCAGGAGTGGAAAACATGATACAAAGCAAAAAATCCGGAGAATTCCGCCGAACATCGAGACTCGGAGATGATTCAGGGGGGCCGTCAAGTGGGAGCTCAGTGGACGACGGTCGACAGCTGCTGCTTCATTCCATCTACAGCATCATTTCGATTAGCGCAGGTTTGCCGACGGACGGACGGATGCATCCCCGAGAGGAAGCTAAGAGTTTGCGAACCCGGGTGCTCGTCAACTACGTAGAGAGGATGTTGATCGTCCTATGGTGTCATCTCTATGAGTTCACGTCGGTAGCAATGAGAACACAGAGTAATTATAGAGCAAGAGCCGTGGTAGTGCAGTGGTTAGCGCACGCCCCGTAGAGGGTGCAACGCGAGTTCAACCACCGCCCGCGGTTCGGAGATTTGCATGTCTTTCAGCATTACTGAATAATATATATTTTTAAGATCCATTCCATGAGTTCTGATTTTCACTGTCATAATCATATGTCCAAGGATGAGAGATGTGAGCTAATAACAGCTCACATCGTTGTCAAGCGGCTAAGTGACATGCAAAACTTGGAACCCCGTGGCGGGACTTGAACTAGCGTCTTATCCTTTTCGGAGGAGCGTGCTACTATCACCGCATTATGGCCACTATCACCCTTCCTGCAATCACTTCTGGTACGGCTGAAACGAAAGTTCAACTCTTTGAAATTTGCATCTCACTCAACCTTCTTGGAAATAAAGACGCCGTTTGCGCTTTCTGATAGCAAACTTTGATCCTTTCATGAACTCTGTTATGGCATCTCTAGGTGCTGTGTGTACGTTTTGGGTCATTTAAGCAAGCCTCATCAGTAGCACGTGCCTTTCGTTTCAGCCAATCACCTGCTTAACAAGGAATCGACGCCGTTTAATCTAAGACGAGGTCTTGAGAAACAGTCAAATATAAAGGTATTATTCAATTTACCAGCCACGAGCAATCGATTGTTAATCACTTCAATGTAGGGTGATCTTATCACTCACATGCAGTGATTTGTTATCAGTGCAGTGTCGGGTGACCTCATCGCCTTACGTGCTGAAACATGTTCGGCGGCGAATCCCTTACATGTAGGGAACTGGCTGAACCGAAAGGCACGTGCTACTGATGAGGCCTGCTAGAATAAGCCGAACGTACGTCGAGCACTAGACGCGCCGTAACAGACCTCATGAAAGACTTGAAATATGCTGTCAGGACGTATCACATTTAACCGAGGTCTCAATCGTATAGGGAGCGCCGCGCCCGAGTGGTTGTAATGCTCGTCGCGGCGCGCGCGGGCTAAACTCCGCCTCTAACACTCTCCAGCAGTCAATAACGAACGCCCTATGGAACGCCACAGCCACGCTATCCTCGAGAATGCAAAGAGACGTGCACAACCAGTATTCTACGTCCTTCAAGAAGAAGACGATAAAACGAACTGAATGCTAGAAATACTGTGAGCCGCACAGTAAAAAAAAAAACACCGTGAAGACAGATCAATAAAATTAAGTAAAGTGCCTCAAGCGACTTTAAAGACAGTTTGCGCAGTTGACCGCTACTTTCGCGACGAAACTTAAATTCGATTTTGGTGTGCAGTAGATGATAGATGATTTTTCGTTGTGCTCATTGTGACGCCTATAGGTGGTCGCTTCCACAATTTTATTAGGACACCTGTTGGTGCCAGTCGTCGAGAGAATGTCAGGCATGGATGTTCAAAATCTGTATATTTGACCCTTGTGGAGAGTTGTGGTCCCAGCAATTTTTAAAGTATTTTTTTACTGGTTTCTTCAAATAAGAAACCATGAGAGCGCGCTTAGGCTTGAAAAAGTTGGTGGAATCAACGTCACCACCTGTATCACTTGTTATTCCTTTGATAGTCAAGTGACTAGAGCGGAGGCCAGCAACACTTCCATTTTTCCCTATCGCGTGCACGGGGTAGCCAGTGGGTCCTCGCTCTTGGGATTCGCTGAGCATCATATCGTTCTGTTAGGCTATTCATGAAGAAATCGAACCATCGGGTGTCGGTGATCTTCCTATGAAACGCTCGATTTCTCGAAGAATCTATGCGAACATTGCTTGCGTGTATGTATTGCCCACTTGGGAGTTGGCAAAGTGGACGAATTACGTTGAGACGAATCGATTTACATTTCAGTGGTTTATTTTGCTGCACTAAGCTTTATCATCAAACGTTTTGTACGCAGTAGTTAGCTACTTCAGCGCTATCGTGTGCGATTTGATCCACGGAAATCTATTCTCCATACTGAGCAATTGATAAGAATAGCTTCTTTTCAATAAAAGCGTATGTACCACCAAAAACTCTTGCTGGAGTTTTTTCATCATCAATCAGCTGTGGTAGTCTAAGATTTTTTTTTCTGCCGTCTATCCTGTCCAAATTGTAGAATAGTGAACACTGAATAGCTGTATATTGGCTACGATCTAAACGTTATTACTTTTATACATTTATATAATGAGAACTGAGATCAATACCATTTTAACTTCTGTTGCCCAGTCATATTGGGCGCCCACGTCAGTTCTGCTGTGGGTACTATTCCTAAGTCTCCAGCGTATTCCCTACAATGCATGGAACTCGTGTGATCCACTCTGTATCTCAGACGATGATATCAAGCATCGTTGTCTTTTTTTGTCATAACCGTGTGATCCATTGTATCTGGACGATGATATCAAGCATCGTTGTCTTTTCTTGATAACCTGTTGATTAGATCGCTGTCTAAGCTCATGCGCAATACGGTGACTAGTCAGTATCTGTGCATTCTCGTGCGTCATTACGCACTGTAGCTGCGAACCTAATGTTATGGTCATCTGCATCAAGATTTTGGTGTCGTTCAATTAGCATTATCTGCGAACGCATTATCTGCTGCATAAATTTGCTTTGAGCTGGAGCTGTCGTGGGAACAAATTCGCTTGCTGCTTAACAGCTCCATATTAAAGCAAGTCTAGGAAAGTTGTATACCAAAATCTTCGCAAGAAAATGTGCATTTGAACGATATTAGTATCATGCAATTTATCACTTCTGATTGATAAATTTGGTTTATAATCCTCTATATCCAAAACATATGGAACGATCTAATATCAGGTGGAAAATGTAGCTTTTATGGACCACATTTACTGCGACATCAGTACGAGGATATTATCAACTAAATGTAAGATTTATAATCAAAAAGTCTTCGCGACAGAATAGACAGCCGCAAAGCAAACACATCATTTAATACTTATATCGTTCGCTCTCCTCTAACGGCTTCCGATCGTAATTGATTTATATGGTCGGGCATGTGTTAATTCTTCTTCCTCTAGTATCCACATTTGCGCGGCCAATCACCCAAGACCAAATGAGGATAGAGGGCAGACGGCGTGAGAAGGTACTCGAGCCCTCGGGCGAGAATATCGACAGGACAGCAAGCGTCGAGTCGAGGACGCAGAGCCTAACTACTACCGCTCAAACCAATATAATAAGGTTAACGCAGTACTCCGAATTCACCCACCTGCTCTTTATGGCTACTATTCGTCTGATGTCGACATGGCTTGTCACAGTGATCAGGTATGCCTCACTGCTGTACCTATTGTCCGATTTTCTGCTGATTCTAGTGAAAAATTATAAAAATTTCCCACAAATTCTAACTTTGTAGCTTGCTTGATAAACAGGGAATATCTTCGGAGGAAACCACCATACCCAACGGTCACCATAGAGGAGATTCAGTCATAAAACACCGGAGCTACTTGAAACTGAGAAACCCGAGAGGTGGACACCACTCCATTTGTACACAGGTCCAAGCGAATTTCGAAATCCTGAACAAATTACTCTACTCGTACATTTCAGCCTCGTACACCCTTTCAAGCTATACAATTTTAGTTGTATATGATTTAGCTATCAGCCGTACATTCCAAAATCTCAACATTTATGGGATGAGATATACTTGAAATCTATAAATTATGAATTATGGCATTAAGTAGTGCCCGAAGTTTCAAGAGCGTATTTCTTTCTCCATCTCAGCAAAACTTTTGAAGTTGAGCATTTCTCTTTCTACTCCATAGCTGGTTTTCAATGTTCTAGTCAAAGTTAACGTCGTTGTCATCCTAATGAACTTAATCGGACTTAATTAATCATTTTACATTCACAGGCGACAACCATCTACTCGGAAAATTCCGATAATTTTGAACACATGAATGCCAGTAATTAACGAGAAATCTTTATTTTACAGTCTCTGTGGAAACGTTCTGATGTTATGACTATTTATGTAAGACTGATAGGGGTGAGTTGAGTGATAGGCAATGCTCTAAACCTCAGATGATAAATAAACTCTCGGATTATCCTTGTCGAGGGAGCTTGTCCAGCATTACATTACCGAGGCCCTTTGATGTTACTCTTTGTACGCTGTGAGGTATCGAATCTGTCAGCAATCAATCGTCAACGGGTTTGCTCTGGTAATCACACATCTGCATCAAACCCAATTACGCTGACAGTTATTCAGTATGTATGAGCCGCAAGAATCCACAGATTTACCGGCTTTATAAGTGCCATGATCTATAACTATATATCCATGAATGTCGATGATATGCAAAGCTCTGACCCTCAGGCCGGAGCTGGACCCCCATTTCACCCTTATTGGGGCGGTTGTTAGCGTTCATCAAAAAGCGCTATTTTACTAATTGCGAAGCACTTTTCACAACATGAACTAAGTGAGACAGTATTACTTGATGCCAGTGCAATTGCTTCTTTTGCATTTACGAAGGTAGAAATTGTGATATTCATTTACAATGACATTGTCGTTGTCACTTAATTTGATTTGTGTTTCTGCGCACTACAATGGGAATATGGGAATTTATTTGGTAGATTGGAATTCTGAGGAAATATTATCATTATTAAATGTTGGGATATCACAGAAGAAACTTCTATAAAGGTTCCTTTAGTATAAAAAACATCTATGTGTTCAAAAATCTCTTTTGTTTCAACGACAAAACAACACTTGCGGAGCGTAACTTATCTACAGCTTTTGCGTGACAGTTTGATGTGATAAAATATTTTGAGCCTTTCATGGAGCTACTATAACACTTATCCAGTGCAAGGTACATGTTTTGGCTATACAGCTTCATCTGTTACACGGTGCCTTTCAGTTCAGCCTGTTCCCATATATAGGGGATATCAGGAATTGACTGGAACGAAAGGCACTGTGCAAGTGATAGGACTTTAATGCCTAAACACGTGTCTTGCACTGTGTAAGTGCCATAATAAGCCTCATGAAAGGCTCAAAATATGCTATCACATTATATTGTCTTCATCGAGATATCAAAAACCTTCAAAAAGAAAGGTTTGTTATATAACAATTGTTTCTGTTTAGTCTGTGCTCCTCCAGTCATTCGATAGCTCAACAAGTGCCAATTTTG